CATCAGTGCTCAATATACGATGGGGTGTGACAAGCGTTTCGATAAATGCCCAGTCACGGCCTCTCAGCAAGTTGGGCAGCCAACTTTCGACTGGGCCCCACAATAAACCAAAAAATATATATATGCTTACATATAAGTAAAAATCAGCTAATGAAACACAAGTACAAACTTATCCATATGATTAAAAAAAGGGGGTTTAAATAAACACGGAGGCAAAGCAACAATGCATCTGTAAAACAAGTGAAAATAAAATAAAGAAAAAACTCAAGTAAAAAGGCTGTAATCAACTACGATATACCCTCGGCCCGACTATTAAATATAATATAGTTTGACTGCCAAATATGATTATTATTTTATGCATCGAAAAGGGGACAAACTAAGAGAACTTATATTAAGAAACTTGAAGTTTCTAGCTCTTATTGTCTCTGATACAGACGGATATCGAATCTGGCGTTGATCATGATCAGTCATATGTATAATATATATACCATATGGGGTCGGAGATGCTTCCCTCTGCCTGTTGCATACTTGTGTACCCATTCTCAATGGGAGAGCATTTAGTGCCAATGGCAAATGTTTCGCCATAGTCAAGTAATTTAAGGATCAAGCGAACGCTGCTAAGAGACTTCGGTAGCATCGGCAACAAGGGGTTAACGCTGATAGGCATCTTAATCTTAATGTCGAACTCGAAATGCCCAAATGCCAATGATGATCGTATATCGCATTATAAATGGAGCCACATCCAAATCATGTCAATCAGCGCGCGAATACGTGACACACATTTGCTGTTGCAACATGCCTCATGCCCCAAATCTGATGATTGGGAGGGGTGAACTGAAACTGAATCCGGATTTGGATTCGGATTCCGAACCGAAGTTGGAGATGAATATGAAACAGAATCTGAAATCTCAATAAGGGTCACAGTGAGGCATCTTTGACTGGCGGTTCCACAAATTATATGTTAAACCTTTTAATGGGCCACAAAACGGTGCAAGCGCGGGGGCCCTGCAATGGTAAACGGGGTAAAATGGGGCGAAGCCGAGCCCCACCCGCGCCGAGAGGAGCTGCCGTTTAACATAATTTGCTATAATTTTCAACAACGCCGGGCTGAAGAGCTGCCAAGTGGCTTCCCCTTTCTCTCTTTATTTCTCTCTCTCTCTCTCTTTATCCCTCTTTCTCTCTCTCTCTCTCTCTCTTGGACCGTTGAGCTGCGAGTCAAAAACACAATAATCATTTTGTTATGCTTTGCTTGGCGGCGTAGAGCAGGGTGAACCAGGGTTCTGCGCCTGATTGCTACCACGGTCATTATGTTACGTTGTTTGCCCTTTTATGTCCGGGCCTAACCTATAATTTAACTAAATGTTCAAATGTTCAAATGTTCAATGTTTGGCGAACATCGCCGCCCAGAAAAACGAATTTGTTGAAAGCTACACAAAATTGGCAACAGATTTCTCATCTGTTGTTGTTGCGGAAATAAAATATTATAAGCGCTGCACAAATTACACCATCAGGGCGTAATTTGGCTGGCAGAGCATATCATATCATATCGGAACATAACTTAACTCTGCCTCAATTTGTATTGAGGTGCAAGTCGCCAATCAGCAGGATAAGCACAACCAAAACACAACATTTCAACTCTCGCACACATTCACACATGCTCGGTGTACTTTCAAACTGATTCAAACCCATCAAGTTGAGGATGTATTCATTTATCGACAGTACTGTCCCTGGAGAGGACATTCTAAACTCAGATAACACCAACCAGGAGGAATCTTAAATGCTCAACGCGATAAAAGTGCTTGAATTTGATGGAAAGGCCGCAATAGATCTAGCAATAATAATAACTATATGATGATATAGTATAATCAGAAAATCAGAAATACAACATACAACATACAACATACAACATACAAATACATTGTGCATTTTATTTAAATAATGTGCAACTGTTATGGAGAATGAAAAACACACACACAAGCAAAAAAAAAAGGAGAAATGTGTACGATGAATCCAAGTATATATTAACAAAAAGAGTTGGGGTTCAATGGGAGCCGCGCTTCCCCACTTCTACTTTTGCCTGTGCTCAGATGCAGCTTCCATTCTGTTTTCTTGCATTCATATTGCCATTTGTTGTCGGGCTTCTTTGTCGACATAACAAAACAGAGTAAAGTGAAAAAAATAAATTACGGAAACTTTACTCTGAATTGAAAAAAAAAATAAGAAAGAGATGGTGAACAACAACAACAACAGCAGCAAGAACAACATCAACAACAACAACAACAACAGTAACAGAACAATAGAGAAAAACAAATACCAAACTCGAAAACTATTGTAAATTCAGTTTTTTGGGAAGTGCTTGTTGCTTTTGCTTTACATAAAGCTACGCAAAACTCCCTCTGCAATGCTGTATTTTGTGTTACTCGCTTTTATACTCTGAAGCCGAGGATGGAAGAGTATATTGCTGTTGAAGCTTGGAATACTCGGTGAAATCGATAACATATCAATCCAAACTAGACATTTTCCACAATCTTAATGATAATTATCTAATAATTATGAAGTTATCAAAACCTGCACAGTTGCCTACTAGTTGCCTCCTCCAAGAAACAACCTCAATATTGGTATCAGAGTATTGCTCAGTCGGCTAATTCCGACTGCAGCGTTCTCTTGTTTTCACTTGTTTTTTTACATTATCTTTTGCGTTTTCCATTTGGCTGTTGCGTTGTGCACATGATAATGAAAAATTCAGTGACCGCAGGGCCAAAAGAGGAAAATATTGCAAATAAAAAATAAAAGAAGACAAATAAGCAGTGCTGACTAGGAAAAGCGTGGGGAGTTCGGGCCAGTGTAGCGAAATTAATCGAAATATTCTAAGGATACACTCAGAAAAATATAATATGTAGAAATTTGCCATACTTTTGGCGCCAAGAATTCCATACCACATAATTCAGAAAGAAAAATTATAAAATTGAATATATTGCCTTACTAAAATGTAGAAATATTTGTCTAATTTCCAGAGTGTTGCTTTATATGCGTGTACACTGAAGAAATTGTACCTTTTATGAGAGTTTAAAGAGTATTAGTATTAAATATTTACGAATTTACCATTCGTTGCCGTTCAGAAGTCGATTTCAGCAAAACACTAATATCAAACTGAAGATATTCTCTGAATTTTGGAAAGGATTTTTTCTAGCAGTCTTAACAATAAAAAATATATCTAAATATATGAAATGTCTTTCCTAATAATAGAAATTTCATTAAAAAAACATATATTTGGGATTATCGATTCTAATTTGTGGAAATTATTTATTAGATTTTCTAATTGTTCAAACTTTCAGCTCAATTTTGTGTGTAAGAAGAGCTAAAGGCACTAGACTGGGTTTAAGTTAATTTACTCATTTTCATAGGTAAGATGTGATGGATGCTAGTGCATCCATCAACTTGTTGCTGATCTTGCTGTCTGGACATTACCTCATTACCGCGTCATAGCCTTCTCGTCTAGTGGCTTTAGTTGTGCTTAGGTGATTTGGCAGCGTAAGCGGCTTATCTAATGCTCACTGAAATTCTAATTCCAAACCAACAGTCACTGTCAAAAGTCTCACGCTTGACCAAACGCTTCATGCAAACAGCTCGACACGGACTCGGACGCGGACTTAATGTCGAAAGCTTCGCTGAGCTTTTGGCCGGCTTAGTTAGGTGTGTGTGTGTGTGTGTGTGTGTGTAGCCGCAAATGCACAGCATGTTACTTCCTTTTGTGTGTGCATCCTGTGCCCCGACAACAGCCTCACTTTGATCTCAAGTCGAAGTTCTCACAGGCTGGCAGGCCTTTCTAGCGAATTTCTCGCAGTGCCACAAAATGTCAGTCAACCTCAAGTGAGGTGGGGGTGTGGGATGTGGGGACAGCAGGGGGATCCCAAACTCATATGCATGTCTAGGCCGCGTTCGGTTGCGGTTGGATAGGGATCGCCAGTTGGTAGTTGGCAGTCGGCAGTCGGCAGTCAAGTTGAGTTCATAAAAATGCGCACAAATTCAAATAAACTGCAGACTGCTACGGCGCTCATCATTAAAATTCACGCTTAAATTGCCTCTAAGAACGGCAAAAGGCAATGGGAACGGGAACGGGAATGAGAACGGGAACGGGAACGGGAACGAGGACCAGCTGCTGCTGCTGCTGCTGTTGATGATGCTGCAGCGGTGGCGGCAGCAGCCCCCAGACGGCAACAAAATCTAAGCCAAATTCATTGGAAACTATTTGCCAAAAAGAAAAGGACACAAACAGAAAAAAAAGAAGGAAAACAAAAAGCCAAACACATAAATCACAAAAATTTCATTGAGAAAACTTTGCCAAAACAGAAAGAAAAAAAAAACACATACACACAAAAAACAGTTCAAGTCCGAGCTGAAAGCAGATTCTTTGACCGCCAGCCAAAAGATCATTAAAAAACAAAAACAAAAAAAAAAAAACAAAAAACGTTCAAGATATGAATATTAAAATCCGAAAAAAAGAAAGAAATATATTCCAAAAATGAACCAAAAACCAAAGGAAAAAAGGGTCTCATGCGAAAAGCAAAAGGGTGCCACTAAAATTTTTAAAATATGTTTTTATTTTATTACTTTGCATGCTGTGCACGGTGCTTCTGGAGCACCCGAAACGATGCAGAACCTCGTAAAAATGTTTTAGCCCGGCACATCCACATAGGCGATCCTCATATCCCGCTCACATCTCAGTTGCCACTCATTGTCTACGCCGTGGCCGAGGCTAATTTTGTGTGGCGGCGGTAGCTTAAATGCAACAACAACAACCACAACAACAACAACAATTTCTACTACAACAACAAGAACAATTAGACATGCGCCTGTATACGCAGAGAGACAATCAGACACAGAGCAAATGAGAGACAGAAACAGAGACAGAGACTGAGACTGAGACTGAGACTACACATACAACATACACACTTAGAGGATGCAACACATTCAGTAAACACTCTATTCGCCCGTTGCAGGTTTGGTTCCAGAACAAGCGCTCCAAAGAGCGACGCATGAAGCAAATCACCAGCATGGGCCGTCCGCCGTTCTTTGGCGGTGCACGCAAAATGCGCGGCTTCCCCATGAATCTGTCGCCGGGCGGACTAGACGATGGGCCCGGCTTTCCCTACTTTGCTGCAGATGCTAAATTCGAGTTCGGCTACGGTGGGCCCTTTCATCCGCACGACGGCCCTTTCTTTCCCGGCCATCCCGGCGGACCGATGCCCTTCAATGCGCCAGGTAATTTACTATGTACGAGAACAAATTGCTATTTACCAAACACCAAAACACCTTTAACAAGTACTCTGTCTGGTCTACTGTCACACTGAGATTGCACTTCAATAAATACGAAATACATTCATTATTTTCTGTAAGCTCATAAGTATTTAAAGCTTATCGGCAAAGTACACAGTAAAATAGTCCATTATCTGGGCAACAAGTAAATACTTTTTCTAATCAGACTTGTGCCATTCCTTAAATAAATATTATCCGTTTCCAATTTCGGTTTATTCTTAGGCACAATCGCGAGCAATAAAAAAAATACTTTCCAAATGAAATAAATAAGTCAGCAAAAATTGCAACCATTTAGAATAGAGCCGATTGTCTGCGATAAATGTTCTTGAAATATCGTATTGGTTTACAAAAACAAAAATAATTATAATAAATGAAAAGTCTTTTCATACGTTTGGAAGAGACAATAGCCTTGCGATATTGAATTCCCAAATTCGGAACTAAAACGAATAAAGTTTTGAAATTTTCGGCTGAAATGTATAATAATCTGTTCTGATTAAGCACATTGCAATTATTTTGAATACAGTGAAACTTGCCTATAGTTAACTTGCATATTTTGTATTGAAGCAATTCTCAATTTGGCATCCCAGATATTAAGAAACGAATCTGCAACATTTTAATTCTAACTCTCCGCCTTTCTCTCTCTCTCTCTCCCTCTTGCTCTTTCTCTCTTTCTGTTTGTGTGGGCTGTTCACAGGTGGACCAATGGATCACAGCGGCCCCATACCGATGGTGAATGAGTTTGGCTTGACGCCCGAGTCAACATTTCTGAGTCAGGCGGGCGCACCGCCAATGCAGCTGCAAACGTCTGTGGGGCCACCGCCGCCGCCGCCGCCGCCGAATGCCGCTGATCATTTGCTGCAACAGGCGGCCACGCAGCAGCAGCAGCAACAGCAGCAGCAGCAGCAGGCGGCGCAAAATGCGCAACAAGCAAGCCAAGCGCAGCAGCAGCAGCAACAGCAGCAGCAACAACAAAATGGCCCGCGTACCGCATCGCCCGAGTTCATGAGCTCTGCGAACTTCAGCGAACCACAGAATATGCAAAATGAAGGGCTTGTTTGGTAATATACAAAACAGTTGGCAACGCGCCTGCTGTTTCTCAAGACCTACACGCAGCGGCAGCAGCACCAACACCAACAACAACAACAACATGAGGAGGAGTAGCAAGCAGCAGCAGCAGCAGCAGCAGCAATAGCAGCAATAGCAGCAGCAGCCAAACCACAAAGAACAACAGTAACAACAGCAATAACAGAGGCAAGGCGTCGTCGTTGCTGTCGCTGTCGCTGTCGCAGCCGACGTCGTCGTCGTCGCTGCCGCCGCCTACTGCGCGCACACTGGTGCCGTCTCGCTCTGACTTACAGCAAGTCGCACACACACATTTTTGCGCTGTATGCGACCGAGAGCGAGCGAGCGAGGAGAGAGAGAGAGAGTGAGAGAGAAGGAGGGAGAGAGAGGGAGAGAGCTATCGAGCTGTTGCTCGTTGCTCGTTGCTCGCTCGCTCACAATTCAAATAAGGAGAAATTTCGTGTTTGGCTGGCCCTGCCTCGCACCCCCGCCGCTAACCCCTCCCTCAAACCGAAATGCGCTGCCTTGGCCAAAAAAAAGAGAAGAAAAAACAGCTGCTCGGCTTGGTTTTGTTATTTTTATTATTATTCTGTTTATTGTTTCAGTACTTTTTTATGACTGCGCCAAAATATTTGTAAATTATTTTTTTTTTTTAAATCATAGCAAAAAAATAAAAAATCTCTTTATGTACATTGAAATGGGCGCTGCACATAAAAAACTACATTTAAATAACTATAAATATATATATACTTTTTATTGTATTTAAATCTAACTAAAGGAAATAAAGAAGAAGAAAAAACCATGCTAAACAAAATCAAATAAATTAACTAAACGTCTTGTCTGTAATAAACTATTTATGTGTATGTGTGTAAAACAAAAATCAACAACAACAAAACACAAATACGTAGCGTAAAAATCGTGTTAGCAAGCAAAAGTAAAAAACAAAAACTAAAATGATTATTATTTTGTAAATTAGCACATTTTTATAAATAAAAAAAAACCAATTTGTTTGCTTAAACATTTTTTTTTTTACTTTTTTTTATGACATACATATAAAAATAAACATATTTTATAATCGTTGTCTAACAACATAAACGTAACTAGACATGTACTTGTGTAGTTTCCTACCAACTAAGTTTACATATGTATACATACATATATATATACATACATGCATATGTATATATATGTATATGTGTATATACATACTTTATACATACTATATGCATATTAAATATAAAGCTATATACGACAACGGACATAGCAAACTTTTTTTTTTTTTTTGTGGTCCTAGCTAGTAAGCAACATAATTTATTATAAACAAATCTATGAATGAAAAACAAAAATAAAAAAACAAAACAAAATATTTACAACTGCTATTTAAATGTAATATCAAAAATGTAAAACTAGCAAAAAAAAAAACATTAAAATAAATATAAAAATTAACGTAAAATTAATTAAAAGCAAAATCCAAGAATAAGATGAAGATGGAACAACAACAGCTATATAACAAAAATAAATTTATATATATCACTATAGAAAAAAGTATATATATATATACATATATATATATATATATATATATATATGCGTAAATGATAAAAGCAGCTAACAATTTGAGTTTTCGATTGATATTATTATGGATTGGCCACAGGAACTGGAGCTGAAACTGCGGCCACGTAACTCTATTACACTTATTATTATAATTATTATTATTATTATTGTAAAAAGTATTTAGTGTTAGCTTAATGCGTAAGTTTATTAATTGATGGAAAAACACAACAAGAACAAGAACAACATCAACAAAAACAATCGCGAGGAGAAGCATACAAAAATCCGTATATTTATCATGCAAAATCTTATCGATGATAAATGGGAGAGCAAAGCAAATCAATAACAAATAAACACAAATTGTTAACAAACAACCGGAAGGCAAAACACAAGCGACAAACGATAAAAGGAAAACTTTGATGAGAAAAAAATTATAAAAATAAAAAAAATCTATAAAATTGCGTTCGTTCTTTTCTACAAAATCGATCTTAGGGACGGGCCCAATTTCCCAACGAATATCTTTCTCAATAAAGATCCTTGACATGATTACCACGAATGAGATATATCGTCAAAAATATAAGCTACTTCAACTTTTTCATGTAATGGAAAAATGCTTTCAGATACTTTAATTTCTAATTTAACTCTGAATATTACAAATGCATTTTTAATTCGAAATATTTATTTTTATATCATGGACATCTATGCAGTATACGTGTAGTATGTATGTGACCTATGGTTTTTTGGCCCCAAGGGTAAATTACCATATTCTCCGGGAAGCATTAAGGTTGTGTTTTTTTCTTAATTTCAGGGTACATTTTTTCTAAAATTTAAAAACAAACCATGTCTCTTTACAGGGTGTTGTTGTTTTTATATGAGTATGTACAATTCTTCTATTATTTTTGTTTATTACTTATATTCATATTATTTATTAGTTTTTATGATTTCATATACACAAATATTTCCGGTAGTTTACAAATGCATATAATTTAATATGAGAAAAAAAACAAACTACAGCAAAACTCAAACATTGCAATCGATGAAATTTGCTCCATCACTATCACTATTTTCTTTATTTTAGAAAGATTTTTTTCTAATAATCAGGACTTGCATATATATTTAATAGAATTATTTTCAATTATTAAAAAATTAACTTCTGAAAAATAGAAAATAAGTCTTTCTAATATTTATAAATGTTTTTGTTCTTCTTATATTTACAAATTATTTCTAAAAACAAAAAAACCTTTCTCGTTTTCAGGGCGACTTTCATTTTAAGTTAATTTTGAAAAAAATAAAATTAATGCCACCTTTTCGGTTCGGTTGTATACGCAATGATCACGCCAGATTGACTAGATAATCTTTAAATTTATGTTTTACGTAGGATGAAAAGATAAGACAATTACTGAATAGTTTGCATATTTAAGCACGGACAAAGCCAAAACCAAAGACAAGCAGAAACTGAAGCAGCAGCTGTTGAGAAGTGTGCACATTACATTTCAAATTACTACACACGTTCAGTTCAAGCAAACACCCAACATTACGGCTCCTAAGGCGCACACATACCCACCCACATAGAGATAGATATATATGCTAAAGTTAATATGCGTAGCTAATATCGGGGCAACATTATTGATGTTGTGGACATGCACTTGCGTGTCTGTGTTGTGCTCAGAACCCACAGCCCTAACTCAACCCTCAAAACTCAAGCGGATCCACACATGAAACGCTCGATTCTAATGTTCGTTAGAGGAGAGGCGGGGGGAGGAGAGGGAAGGCGAGGTATGGCCTGGAGAGGAGAGGTGAGGTGAGTTGAAGTAGCAGTGCCTTTATTCGACACATGTGCGCGCATTCACACCTAAGACTAGCCTCAAGAAACGAGCATCCATCTTGCGGCCTCGGGATGGGCATAGGTTGGGTGGTATGCTATGCATTGGGGAGGGGGTGAGGGGGGGTGGGTGTGGGGATGTATCACAAACTATGCGTACTATAAACAATATACGGATGGATGTTTAGGCAGACGTTGCATGTAGCCTGGATGCGGCAGCATGATAGCATTTAATACAAAACAACTCATGTATGTATTGTATTGTTGTTGTTGGTGTTGCTGCTGCTGCTTGCTGCTGACCATCATTTGTGGCCATGACGAATGAATACAGCCGAATACATTTGCAGGCGTTGCAAAACGAGGCACGCAGTGACTGCGCTAGAGTAAACGGCACTTCGAACAAAAGTTGCCCTTCAGCTTCGAAAATGTTCATAAGCCTCAAATTGTCCTGTAAAACGAAATAATTTCAAAATTTAAGTAAAAATCAGCAATTACCAAACAAATGTTATTCACACATTGAATTTCTTTTTCGACTTATGAACATGTCTGTACGTGTTTTAAAAAATTTAAGGTTCCTTATTTGATTCAGAAATGAAAGCCTTAGTTTCTAAGGTGATCTGCCATTGGCGCTAAACCTAATCAGATTTGCTGTATTCTGTGACATATATATTTCTCCAAGTGTAGAGAGCGAAAGAGAGACAGCAGAAACAGAGAGATTTAGAGGCATTTTAGAGGCATGCAAGCAAGCGTTGCACTTCTGATTCATACACACACACACACACAATTGAGTGTGCATGTGTTTGAGCGCCCATCAGCGCGTTGAGTCCTCTTCAGAGAGCTGAACGACACGGGCAACAAACCCAATCCCAATCCCAATCCCAACCCAATCTATCCAGCCATCAATCCAGAAAGGCACAAGGACTCGGACTACCCTGAGCTGATATGTGACGTGCGTTTATCAGTGGACAGGACAAATAGGACAGGCCAGGCCAGGCCAGGACAGGACAGGACAGGACAGGCCAGGATATAGCCAGCATGCAGTAGAAGGAGAGGGGGAGGGGAGTGGGCGTGGGGGTGGGACAATGCCTACACTTGACTGATGGACATTCGCATGGCCAATCGGTGGACGGAGTGGGGGAGAGGATGGTGTGGCCAGAGAGGGGGGAGTTGGCAGAAGATGGGAGCATGGAATTCCAACTACAACTTTACTATGCTTTGCAATATTCCCATTTGCTTTTGTCGCCAAAAATATGTTTGTTAACATTTAGAGTGAATGGCTGACACACCCATAACTAAAGCCCCCCTCTCGACCAGACCTCAGCTACAGCTCTTATCATCACTCATAGCACATGTCATGATGTAACTCGCAGCAACAGCCGCAGCAACAGCAGCAGCAGCAGCAGTAGCAGTAGCTGCAACAGCGACGTCATGATAAATGCTTCCGAACTTGTTACTTAGTCACGTGCGCTGCAAGGCCCGATCATCATTTGGAGTAGCACTTGGGATGTTTGCTTGTGTGTGTGTGCGTGTGTGTGCGTGCGTGTGTGCGTGTGTGTGTATTTGTGTATATATGTTAAACCACAAAATTGGCTCTAAGAGATGCTTTGAACGGTTAATGGAGATTGTTGTCTGTTGATTGCTGATTGCCTCCCTGACCACGACTGACTGACGCCTAATGATTCAATTTTTTTGAGAGCCAAGTCAATTATGTGGCAAACAACAGTCGCTCGCCATTCACAGTTATCAACGTGACTCAACTCGCTTGCAACTTGCAGCTACTGGCAACTGGATATTTGTTGAGCATGCCACGCAATAACAAAACATACCCACAACATACTAAACGGGGAACTATATTTGATTTGAAGTTGTCGACAGGCAGTTCACAGCAATAACAACAATATAAGCATGATTATTACAACAATCGATGAAGCGATAGACAAACTCACGGCTTGATCGATTCGAATCGACTGCTGATGCCTTTTGAGATAATACATACTTTATGGCTTGGAATATGTTTTTGTATGTCTGCACAGCATTTGCACAAGACCGGAGTCTATTTCATTATTATGAAGTTAATGAAAAGGGTAAAAACTTAAATAGCATTGTCAACTTGTAATGTCCTATGATATGAAATTCTTCTAAAATATAAATACAGGACTTAGGCACAGAGAATTAGTCAATTGAAAAGATAAACTATAGCAACAGACAAGAAGCGAAGAAATTAAAGATAACTCTAAGAACCAAACCGAACTGAGTTGAGTTGAGCCGAATTGATCTGAGCCGGGAGTATAATATTTTCTGAAATCATCCGGATTCTGACAATGCTACTGC